GTGGAGGATGCGGGCAACTTCCTGAGCAAGTGGGAAGATGAAGGAAATAATATACGAGCCTTACTGCAGGCCAATGCAGTACAACGGGAGACAAATCGCCAGGTTGCGGAAGCCCAACAGGCACAACATGAAGCCCAACAAGCAGACCGAGAGCTCCTTAAGCAGGTGGCCCAACACCTATTAGAATTAAAGAAGGAATCTGCAGGTCCGCTGCCAGCGGAGCAGAAAATGGCACGGGCCAGCTATGTTTTGCAGAAGATGACACCTGCAGATGATGTGGAGGCCTACCTCACTTTTGAAAGGGTTGCTGTTCGGGAAGGATGGAAAAAGGAGCAATGGGCAGGACTGCTTGCACCATTTTTGACAGGTGAATCCCAAAAAGCCTATTATGACCTGGAACCAGGGGATGCCCAGGACTATGAGAAACTGAAGGCTGAGGTCCTTGCACTCCTGGGCGTCACCATTGCAGTCCAGGCTCAGCGGGTGCATCAGTGGCATTACAGGGCTGACAAACCACCCAGATCCCAGATGTTATGATTTTGCGCAGCTGTAGCAGTACTGTCAGGAATGGACTCAGCACTGGTGGTGGGACTCGCCTGCCGTGTGGACTGCAGTACCAGAGCTGACCAGCGGGTGCTCTCAGCACTGGTGGTGGAACTCACCTGCCGTGTGGGCTGCAGTACCAGAGCTGACCAGCGGGTGCTCTTAGCAGCCAGAAGCTCACAATCAGCCAAACCTGGGGCTGATTGTAGAAAGGTGTATATAAGGCATGACCAGGCCTGTGCTCTGGGCCTTGGTGTATGTTTTCCCATGAGCCTCTGTATCCTGTGTTCCTGCTTCGTTGCTGACCCGGCTTGATCCTGATCTCTGTTGACCGTCTCCTGTTCTGACTACTGGCTCATCCCTGACTATTCTTCTGCCTACTCCTATGCTGTTTGACCTCCTGTTGCTGTACCTTGGCTTGTGACCCGTTTACTCTTTGCCTGCTGCTCTGTACTGATCTGCCTCCACCGTTACCGACCCGGCTTGTCTGACCATGCTACTACTCTGCCATCCATCCATCCTGCACGGATCCAGCCGTACCTGCACATACCTCTGGCGGATCCCTCTACCACTAGCAGGTGTACTCAGGGGCCGCGACCTGGTCTCAGTCCTGCGCCAAGTCCATCCCCACCATCAGGGGCTCTGGTGAAAAGGCAGACTGGGGCTTAGACTCCGCGCCCTGGGGAATCCTGCCCTGAGGACCGCTAGAGGTACCACCAAACGGTCATTATAGAACCCTTCGGCCGACCTGACCGTTCCACCTCTCCAGCCCTGACTACGCCTGTGTTCCTGCACCTCCTAAAGATTAGTGGAAGGTTGGTTTGCTCACTGTGCGTTTATATAGATATATATCTGGGTGGCTAATAATAAACTGTATTATATTACCTGCGTTTCCCTGTGTCAGTCCACACCTTTCTGGTCACTCCTTGATTCCTGACAAGTACATCTGCTATAGGGGGGTGGGAAAGCAGTTTAAAGCTGAAGTCTACTGTTTGCTACAAGCATAGACTTTAATATAGCTTTTTCTGAAGAATACCTAGGTCCTCAAGTTGTACATAGTTCTTATTTTTGGAGTATCCCACCTAATTCCCTCAACCCTATCCAAGTTCTCAAAAAATAAAAACAACTCCCCTTGACTGGTCATTTAAGAAGCGTGTGGATGAGCCTGTGTCCCTGGCTGTGGGGCAAACATGTTGGGTAGACCTGGACAGCATTCCTGCAACTCCTACGGGAGTAGCGCTACATATCCTTTTATAAAGAAAACACAATTATTTTTATTTTGTGCTTGCATGTATCCTTACTTGTGAGTCTGGAGTTGCTGGAAGAGAAGAATACAGAAGCGTGCTGGCAGAGACATACCCTTGGTGTTGATGATTTAAGTTTTTATGTCCTTGATATTATAGTGGGGTCTACATTTGGTGGTGAGCAGATATATTGCACTGGGTGGCTGGAGACACAGCAAGAAAGTTTGGGAAGTTTATAGAAATCTTCACATATGTACTACAATGGTGATGGACTATTGATCATTGGAGGTTTGGACTTTTATTTATTATTGTATGTTTTTAAACATTTTCTGTTTATTTAATTTACACTACATCATTGTTGTGTTCTGAGTATGTATATTGTGGTGGAAAGCACTGTTTGTTTTATCGGCATTCAAGGATTGTACTTTTATCACAGTGTTATATTCTCAATAAGATTAGTATTGCACTGGTTGTTCATTTATATATACGCTATCTGTTCCCCCAAGGTAATTTAAAACCTATTATCATGACATGTAAATGTTATGTATTAGGTATGCTTTAGATGGTGCTGTTAGAAATAGATGTATTTGTAATTGTGTCTGTCTATATTAAACCAGGGATTTTATTTCTCAGAGAATAGATGTAGGTACTCCCCCTTTCGAGTCACCCCTTGTCTCTGCCCCCCTATCCACCTCCGAGCACTATCCGTACACCGCCCCCTTCTATCTCCCAGTACTGCCCTTTTTATATAAAACAGAACCAAGTATCATTTTGTGCTGTTGAGGAATGGTGACAAGTAAAGCAGTAAAATACAGTGCCTTGAAAAAGTATTCTTCCCTCTTGAACTTTTCCACATTTTGTCATGTTACAACCAATAACGTAAATGTATTTTATTGGGATTTTATGTGATAGACCAACACAAAGTGGCACATAATTGCGTAGTGGAAGGAAAATGATAAATGGTTTTAAAATGTTTTACAACTAAATATGTGAAAAGTGTGGTGTGCATTTGTATTCAGCCCCGAGTCAATACTTTGTAGAACCACCTTTCGCTGCAATTACAGCTGCAATTCTTTTTGGGGAGGTCTCTACTAGCTTTGCACATCCAGAGAGTTATTTTCAATCTTGCCACAGATTCTTTATTGGATTTTAGGTCTGGCTTTGATTGGGCCATTCTAACACATGGAAAATTGGTTTAGATCAAAGCATATTCATTGTAAATCATATCTGGCTGTATGTTTAGGGTCGATTGTCCTACTGGAAGGTGATCCCTCTGCCCCAGTCTCAAGTCTTTTGCAGACTCTTAACCAAACGGTTTTCTTTCCAACAATGCTCCCTTTATTTGGCTTCATCCATCTCATCACCATCAACTCTAAACCAGCTTCTCTGTCCCTGCTGAAGAAAAGCAACCCCACAACATGTATGTTGCCACCACCATGTTTCACAGTGGATGGTGTTGTTAGGAATGGACTGGCCAGCAATGGTGGGACTCACCTGCCTTTTGATCTGCAGTACCAGGGCTGGCCAGCGGTGCTTCCCCAGCAATCGGAGACTCAACCTTTCAGCCCAGCTAACACCTGGAACTGATGATGCTGGGTATTAAGGGATGGCCAGAACCACAGACTCTGCCCTTGGTGTTGTGTTTGTCCTGGGCCCTGTATCTGTCCTGCATCCTGTTTCTGTTCCATGCATCCTGTTTCTGTCCCTCTGCCTGACCCTCTGTACTAACGCTGCTTGTTACCTGTTTTGATCTCTGGCTTGTGACCCTGACCATCCCTCTGCCTGACCCTTTGTACTAAAAAACGCTGCTTGCTACCTGCTGAACCTGGCCCTGTGACCCCGACCATTGCACTGCTTGCTCCCCCTGTACCTGCGCCACCTGCCCAATTGATATTGACCCGGCCTGCTGACGACGCTTGCTGTTGTATGTTGTACTGTAATCTGTGGGTGGGGTTTCTGTTTGTGGGGGGTTTGTTTTGTTTGCACTGTATTATGTTTTAGTATTGCACTGCGTTTATGTTTGTATTGTTAGTGTTTAATAAATTATATTGTTTATAACATATCTGAGGTCATGCGTTTCCCTGCGTCAGTCACACATCTCTGGTCACACCTGGAGCCCTGAACGATTACACCAAGCCAATCCTGACCAGAAAGTGGCTGCACACAGGGAAGCCATCTTGGCTTGTTGATGGTAATGGAAAAACGATGGGATCTTGATGAGGTTGAATATTTATATCTGCTAGTGTTTGATGACAGGGAGTATTGCTTATCAAACTCTGAAGGAGTATACCCGGGATGAACTTCTAGAATGTATAACGTCTCAGCTCATGTTCTATGTAGATCAGGGCACAGAGTTCTCTGAGGTGCAGCCTTTGATGAGGTTTGTGCTGAGTTGGTTTTCATCTGGTTCCCCCGAATGCAGGGATGAATTTTGCCACCATTAGTGCAGACCAGGTAGAGTCCCTGGTGTGGTTATTAGAGGATGATGTGGTTAACTTTCCTGGAGCAGTTTTTCCACATGTTCACCACAGACACTAAGAGATTGTATAACGCAGTACAGTCATTGACCAGACGAGGCTTTGTGTAAGCTCAGCTTTGTTCAACCCCATACTGCAGACATGGACAGACTTGTTTGCACCCAGCCTCAGTCATCTTACAAAGACCCCAGTCCCTGCTTCTAATCTATTTCCTCAAAACTCTATTCCTGCATTCCAACAGCTCCTCCCTGCCCTGCTATCTACCGCATGTCAGTAACCCCTGTTCCCACTCGCTGCACCTATCCTGCCTTTAAACCTGTAAAAGAGCCTCTGTAGCAACTGCTCCCTCTCCTGTTCCATCCTCCAGTTCTCTCTGTCTCCAGCTGCTCCATTTGTTTTGCAGACCTGCGTTTACTTGCAGTGCTCCAGTAGTTAAAGCCAGAAAAAAGCGAAAATTCTTTCCAACCAATACAATCCTGCCAGTATCCAAACCGGTGAGCCTGCCGTCCTGAGAACCTGACTTCCGTGGTTCAGCCTGGTGCCTCTACTCAGCCTGAAGCCTCTACTCAGCCTGAAAGCTACTCAGCCTGAAGCCTCTAACTCAGCCTGATGCCTCTACTCACCTGATGCCTCTCTTCGGCCTGATGCCTCTCTTCGGCCTGATGCCTCTCTTCGGCCTGATGCCTCTCTACGGCCCTGAAGCCTCTAACTCGGCCTGAAGCCTCTACTCGGCCCTGATGCCTCTACTCGCCTGATGCCTCTACTCGGCCCTGATGCCTCTACTCGGCCTGAAGCCTCTACTCGGCCTGAAGCCTCTACTCGGCCTGAAGCCTCTACTCGGCCTGAAGCCTCTACTCGGCGCTGAAGCCTCTACTCGGCCTGATGCCTCTCTTCAGCCTGATGCCTCTCTTCAGCCTGATGCCTCTCTTCAGCCTGATTGCTCTCTTCAGTCCCTAGATGCCTCTCTTCAGAGCCTGATGCCGGTACGCAGCCTGATGCTCTCCTTCAGCCTGATGCCTCTCTTCAGCTTGATGCCTCTACTCGGCCTGATGCCTCTACTCGGCCTGATGCCCCTCTACTCGGCCTGAAGCCATCTACTCGACCTGAAGCCTCTACTCGGCCTGATGCACTACTCGGCCTGATGCCTCTACTCGCTCCTGAAGCCTCTACCTTTTCGGCCCCTGATGCCATCTACTCGGAAATCCTGATGCCTCTAACTCGGCCTGAAGCCTCTACTCGCCTGAAGCCTCTACTCGGACGGCCTGAAGCCTCTACTCGGCCCTGAAGCCTCTACTACACCGGACGCCGCGACATTCAGCCTGATGCCTCTACCCAGCATGATGAACTGATCCAGCCTGAAAAAAACGATCCTATTAGGCCCCCCTAGTTGACTCGATGCCCGCTGTTGATCCAGATGATCCGGTACCTGAACCGGTGCCCGCTGTCGAGCCAAATGACCTGATGCCTGGTGACCCAGTGCCGCCTGTCATACCTGGTGACCCGATGCCCGCTGTCGAGATCCAGACAATCCGGTACCTGATGACCCGGGTGCTCACTGTCGTGCCTGTTGACTCGGAGCCCACAGCCTTGCCAGATGACGCGGTTGCCCGCTGTCGGAGCCAAATGACCTGATGCCTGGTGACCCAGTGCCCGCTGTCCAGCCAGACGATCCAATGTCTGACCCAGTGCCCGCGGTCATACCAGTTGACTCGGAGCCCACTGCCTTGCCAGATGACGCGGTGCCCCGCTGTCGAAAGCCAAATGACCTGATGCTGGGTGACACCGATGCCCCGCTGTCCAGCCAGACGATCCAATGTCTGACCTAAACAGAGCCAGCGTCATCCCCAGTTGACTCGGAGCCCACGGTTGTGCCTGGTGACACGGTGGCCCGCCGCCCCCGCCTGGGGCCTGAGACCTGTCGTTCCGCCTGGGGTCCGGCGCCCGCCACTCCGCTTGAGGGCCCGAGACCTGTCGCTCCATCTGGGGGTCCGGCGCCCGCCGCTCCGCCTGGGGGCCCGAGACCTGTCGCTCCGCCTGGGGGCACGATGCCTGTCGCGCCGCCTGGGGCACGATGCCTGGTCGCCCCCCTGGGGGCACGATGCCTGTCGCCCCGCCTGGGGGCACGATGCCTGTCCGCCCCGCCTGGGGCCCGATGCCTGTCGCCCCCGACTGGGGGCCCGATGCCTGTCGCCCCGCCTGGGGGCCCCGGCGCCCGCCGCCCCGCCGCGGGGGCCCGACGCCGGTCGCCCCGCCCGGGGCCCGGTTGCCTGCTGCTCCGCCGCGTGGCCCGTTGCCTAGCAGCCACCGCCGCGGGGGGGTGGGGGGCCCGTTGCCCCTGCTGCCCCGCCCGTGGGCCCGGTGCTGCTGGCTCCGCCCGGGGGCCCCGGTGCCTGCTGCTTTTCGCCTGGAAATTCCGATGTGCCTCTGCCCGGAGTCCTGCCCGATGTGCCTCTGCCCGGAGTTCCTGCCCGATGTGCCTCTGCCGCGATGTTGCCTCTGCCCGATTGCCTCTGCCCGGTGTGCCTCTGCACCGGTGTGCCACTGCCCGGTGGTTCCTCAGGCACAGTGTGCCACAGCCCCGGTGTGCCTCGTGCTCGATGTGCCTCTGCCCGGAGTCCAGCCCTAGTGTGTGCCGCATGCCCGGAGTCCCCTGCCCTGTTGTGCCAGTCTTTGACTATCCGCGAAAGGGGTATTACCAGACCCGGGCAGTGGAAAAATTATTGCCCAGCTAGGACTGGGTTTGTGAGCGTCCCTGAGCCCGCGTCCTTGGGGGGGGGGTTACTGTGAGGAAATGGGACTGGCCAGCAAAGGTGGGACTCACCTGCCTTTATGATCTTCAGTAACATGGCTGGCCAGCGGGTGCTCCCAGCAATCCGGGGACTCAACCTTTCAGCCAGCTAACACCTGGGACTGATTGATGCAGGTGTATTTAGAAGGGATGGCCAGACCCACAGACTCTGCCTTGGTGTTGTGTTTGTCCTTGGCCCTGTATCTGTCCCTGCATCTCAAGTTTTTCTGGACCAGCATCCTGTTTCTGTCCCTCTGCCTGACCCTCTGTAACTACGCTGCTTGGGGGGTTACCTGTGTTTTTGATCTTCTGGCTTGTGACCCTGGACCATCCTCTGCCTAGACCCTTTGTACTACGCTGCTTGCTACCTGCAGAACCTGGCCCTGTGACTCCGCCGACCATATCTCTGCTTGCTTCTACCCCCCCCCTGTACCTACCTCCCAATTGATATTGAACCCGGCCTGCCCTGACGACGCTTTGCTTGAATGTAAAAAAAAACAGTTATCTGTTGGGTGGTTTGGTTTGGGTTTGTTGGCACTGTATATGTGTTGTTATTATAGCACTGCGATTTATGTTGTATTGTTAGTGTTAATTTATTAATATTGTTTATAAACATATCCTGAGGTCTGCGTTTCCCTAGCGTCCAGACCACACAGGTCTCTGGTCCACACCCTGGGAGCTCCCTGGACAGGTGTGTTCAGGGTGAACGATGCAGTGTTAGAATTCCTGCCACACATAGCATTTTGCTTTCATGCCTAAAAGTTTCATTTTTGGTCTCATCTGACCAGAGCATCTTCTTCCACATGGCTTATTGTAGCAGTGTAGCCAACTGTGCATATGGGACTTCTTATGGCTTTCTTTCCAACAATGTCATTCCTTCTTGCCACACTTCCCATAAAAGTCAGGATTTGTGGAAAGGCCACAACTAATAGTTGTCCTGTGGGCAGATTCAGCCCACCTGAGCTGTTGGAACTTCTAGCAGCCCCTCCAAAGTGTTTACCATGGGCCTCTTAGCTGCTTCACTGATTAATGCTCCTCCTTGGCCCGGCACTGTTAGTTTAGGTGGACGGCCATGTCTTCATAGGTTTGCCGTTGTGCATACTCTTCCATTTTCAGGATGATGGATTGAACAGTGCTTTCGTGAGATGATCAAAGCTTTTTTTTTACTAACCTCACCCTGCTTTTAAACTACTCCCGCAACTTTTATCCCTGACCTGACTGGTGTGTTCCTTGGCCTTCATGATTTTGTTTGTTCACAAATGTTCTCATAACCAAACCTTAACAGAACAGAATGTAGTATATAACTGAGATTAAATTACACACAGGATGGACCTAATAGCAACACCACACTTTTTCACATATTTATATTGTATGTTGAAAATGTTGAAAACTATATTAAAATACTCTTTATCATTTTCCTTCCCACTTCAACAATTATGTGCCACTTTGTGTTGGTCTATCCCATAAAATACCAAAAAAATACATTTACGTTTTTTGGTTGTAACATTACGAAATGTGGAAAATATCAAGGGGGTAATGAATACTTTTTTTCAAGGCACTTAATAGATCCCCTGCAAACCCACAACACTAGTCCCCCCACCATCAATAGATCTCCCCAGCAACAATCGCACCCCCACCAGCAACAGTAGATGGCCCCAGCAACAACAGACCCCCCGCACCACAAAACACCCTCCACCAATAACAATTCAACCCCCACAGAACAATAGACCTCCCCACCAGCAACAATAGATGCTTCTAGTAGCCAGTAATTAGAGCCTTTCCAGCAATCTCAGAAACAAGAGTACCTCGTACCTCAACAGTAGATCCTTCCCAGCAACATTACTCTCCAGTAACAGAAGACCGCCCCAGTCAGACAATGTACCCCTCCTTCAACAATATATCCCTTCCAGAGCCAATAGATTCCGCCAGGAGTCAGCAACAATTGACACAGCAAGCATGCCTTACCATTCAGTGCTGGAACTGCATTCGCCCCCTGTTCCAGCTGGCAAAAAAGACCTGGACCATACTAAGGTCTTTATTTGAAAAAAATAATACATTTCAATAAAGTACATTTTAATCCTACTTTTTTGCTTTTATGGAATGGCACTTTAAAAGTAACATTTTGATTGTAAATCTTTTTTCTCTACTCTTGTATTGTGGATGTGGTGGCCGGTGGTGATCACCCATCAGTCCCCTTTTCATGATCACTAATCTGACTAAAAAGTAAATACAGTAAACATGATTTTAAGCAAAGGATCAATATGAAACTCTACCAGAAATCCAATTATTATAATTATGCCGTCTGGTTAAGTTGAAGAGACATGCCAATATTTGACATGCTAATATGGTTACAAACCTTTTTGTAATCTTGGTTAACATTTTAAACAAAATAAATACTGGCGACAATGTATACTTTTAATAATTTGTCTATATATAAATAAATTGGTAAGTTATGTTGATTTTGCTGTTATGGCACAATTAGAATTTATACTGAATATTTACTGTATACTAATATATCGTATATAATGTATGCAAAGGTGGGGGGGGGGGGGGGGGGGGGGGGGGGGGGGGGGGGGGGGGGGGAGGGAAAAAAAATAATTATATAGGGGGGGGGGGGGGGGGGGGGGGGGGGGGGGGGGGTGGGGGGGGGGGAAAACACTATATATCGCAATATGTTGCAATTTGTAATAGGATGGCATTCAGAGAGTTTGTAGGCCTTCTTGTTTCAGGGTAAGACATACTCTTTGCCCCCCCCCCCCCCCCCATGCCCATGTTTTGGTTGTGTGGTGGGGGGCTGGGGTGGCATTTTAATGCAATTGGATGCAATATTGAGGTTTTATAAAGCGAGCAGTTTAATTTTCCTGGGGGTAGCCCATGGCCCAATGCATTCATTTTTTGGCTGTGCCCTTTGGGCTTCTTCTCCATATCACTGCCCTAGTGTGATGCTGGGTATCCTGCTTTGGGACACAATTATTGCACCAAATGTTCCGATAGTGAAGTCTGTGCACAGTGGGTGAAGAGCCATGACTTGCGGCTGCAGCCACCACACATACATCATAGCTGGTAATTTCTGCTGGGATGCCCTCCCCTTTGTTCTGGGCGCCTCCCAGGAGTGGAAGGCACCTTTTCCTCTGGTATTCTCCACCCCCCGCATAGCACTGGCTTTTGTGTGTCTTTTAAGGTTGGGTATACCCCCACTCTTGGCCATGATGTTCTAGCAATGTATCACTCCTGAGTAATTGGTATACTTTGGAGGACTACATGCTATGATGTTTCCCTCCATTTCCATCCCTTTTTAGTCCCATGCCTGGGTCCAGCAAGGCGCGTGACTGTACCTTGGATGCACATCTTGCTTAGATTCATTTTTAATGTTTGCATGAAGTATGTTAGAACCTTTGATCACACACATGAGATGTCTCTAGTGAACCCTTATATGAATATTCGATTGAGTAAACTACTGGATTAGCATTTGAGCACTATAACACTTCTAAAAGATGTTATGTTTATTGACCTATGAACCGTTTGGAGAGCTCCCCTTATCAGGCAAGGCGATAAAGGCGAAAATGTATGCAATGTATGAATGAGGTGCAATGAGAGAGACTGTTTTATTGGAGATTCTGTGTTAAAATTATATTTTAAATATTGATTTTAAGTATTGTAAATCAATAAAAAAAAAATCTAGAATATTTTAAGAACAACTTGTATCTATGAAAGGTAAATACAGTTTTTGGTACCTTTAAAAGTCCCATTATTAGCCCATTAGGGGTCGTTTTTAGTTTGAGGTGTATGGATACCACACTTGTCAGACTTTTTCAATGTTTTGGATTGAATTATATTGTACCAGACATTATAT